TGAGTGGACATGAGCACAATGGGGGAGACAAAGGCGGCAGGGAGTAGTGTGCGCCACACCACTTTCTTCACGTGCCGTGCCGGAATTCATGAACTGCTTAATAGGTGATCGCTAACACCACTCACCCAGCGGAAATCTTTACGGCTGCACGATAGCTCTTTGTATGTCCCTGGTCTGTGTGCGCAATGCTGCTATGGGGTCGTCCATAAATGACGTCACGCGATTTTGGACGATTTTTGACCCCCCCCCCTCGTCACACGGCGTCACAAAAAGTCAGACCCCCCCTCAAATGACGTCACAAAGCTCTGCCCCCCCCCCAAAACCATATTTCCATTTTGAAAATAAAACATGCTTCAAATCGCTTTAAACTATTGTCATTATAGTGCGTATTTAATGTGGCGCTGCACTCTGATGTTGAAGGAGATAACATTTATTAAAAAGTATATTTAATTAAGTAGAACGTGTTGTCTATATTTATTTAAAGTTGCGCAATTTTTATGTGACGTCACATTTCTCAACCCCCCCCCCCTCGTCACACATCGTCACAAATGTCTGACCCCCCCCCCCCTAGGTGCGTGACGTCATTTATGGACGGCCCCTATGTTGCACTCAGCGAAACGTAATATTGAGGACAAATGGGAGTTCGTTTTCATTCAGGTACAAAACGCCACGATGTTGATTTGTTTTTATTTTTTTCCGTAGACCCCGACAGCAGCGGCGTGAGTTCCCGTGCGACTCAAGCCGATAGTTTGGGATGAACCGGGAGTCGATGTCGACTCGACAACTTAAACCACCTTGAAAAGACAACACCGCGACGCAAGGGAGGCCTTCGACCCAGCCGTGGATTATTAAAGATTGCGTGCGCGATAAGCTCAAGAAAATATCATACAATGCGACGCTGCGATTGGACAAACATCCCCATTGCTGAAGATGTACCTGCGAATGACTCAACGTGGACTACACAGCAGGAGGAGGAGCAGCAGCAGCAACACCGCACGCCTCTTATTGCGTAAACAAAAAAAAACGTTGAGGGATCCTGAAATAATAAATCATCTTTAGACCTCCGTGGGGGGTTCCCGAGTAAACAAGCGGACCAATTACAACGATTAACGTGGACGCGGTCACTGCCGTGGGCTTCTATAGGATAACAGTTTATGGGTAATGGCCCTTGTTCAGAAGATTCATTTGTGTGGGGGGGGGGGGGGTTCAGCTCCATAAAATGTTCAGCAGAGCGTGCTGCATCCGGCAGAGCAGCCCCATCAAAGTGTTTTCTGACTTTGTTAAAACACCAATTGAGAAGCAAACACTCCCACATTCGTCACGAAACTAAAAACTAAACTCTCTTTTTGTTTGTTATGTTACCAAGGCCCACTGAGCTACGTGGCCCTTTTTCAGAAGCGACCCGGCTATCACAAATGATGGCTCGAGGAAGTGGCTCGTCACCGTCACGTGGACATTTAGCGCAACAGCCAGATTCTCCAAACGCGCGATGTCGATTCGAAATGTGGAGGGAGACACCGGAGGACCCGGAGAAAAATCCACGCGACCACGGAGAGAGAGGACACGCAAACTCCAAAATATACAGCAGCTGTCAGGATTGGGGTCAAACCCACGACCCCTCTATACCAGGTGAGGTAGTTAACATCTTGCCACCATATTCTTAGCTCTTTCGGTAAAGTCACGTTGAAGGGAAACAATAAAATGTATATAAAATAATAAAATATTGTTTCCCTTCAACGTGACTTTACCGAAAGAGCTAAGAATATCAATTACTGCAGTCACGAAAGCTTTAAATCAAAATCTTGCCACCATTTACAACCTCCTTACAGGGAAAAAAGCTCTGCTCTGCAAAAGGGGCCATTGCTCGATACGTTAGTCTTTTATATATTTGAGGGGTGTCCCGGAAGAAGAAAAACACCAATTGATAGCCAAGAAATCGCGTTTTGCAGAAAGTATAGGCTTCAATTGAGAGTTGGCGGATTGAGTGGGTAACAAAGTTGACTGAGTGAGATTCGGTCCTTCGTGGGGAGATGCTGCAAGAACGCAAATCCCGCGTGGATTAAGTGGTTTGAGTGAAGCTACGATGAGTTAAGTGTTCCAATGAAGCTAGTTAGCATGGGTTAGTTTTATATACAGAGACTCCTCTACTTACGAACGAGTTAGGTTACACTCTCGTAGATTCCAAACATGTTGTACGGCGTGTACACTAAACACAGGGGATGGCTTTAAAAGTTGTATAATCTCCTGTAGATGTCACTAGTTCTTCACGTTCCACAGATGTAGATGCCACTGGATCCTTCACGTTCTGAAGATGTAGATGCCACTGGTTCTTCACGTTCTGCATATGTAGATGCCACTAGATCCTTCACGTTCTGAAGATGTCGATGCCACCATTTCTTCACGTTCTGCAGATATAGATGCCACTAGATCCTTCACGTTCTGAAGATGTAGATGCCACTTCTTCAGGTTCTGCAGATGTAGATTCGACTGGATCCTTCACGTTCTGAAGATGTAGATGCCACTTCTTCTTGACGTTCTGCAGATGTAGATTCGACTGGATCCTTCATGTTCTGAAGATGTAGATGCCACTAGTTCTTCATGTTCTGTAGATGTAGATGCCACTGGTTCTTCATGTTCTGCAAATGTAGATGCCACTGAACTTCATGTTCTGCAAATATAGATGCCACTGGTTCTTCACGTTCTGCAGATGTAGATGCCACCACCACCACCATCTATTGCACGGTGGTTGAACTTACAACTTTCGGTCCGAACAGGAAACTGGCCATACGGACATATTTGTTCGTATCTGCGAAAGTTCGTAAGTCGAATGTTTGCATATAGAGTCGCTGTATCGCAAGTTATGCGTGAGATGACGGGTATTCTTGATGTGGTGTGCCGACCTGGATAGACCCGGCTTGAATTATCAAGTGTTTATCTCTCCAGCACACCCCTCACTTGTAGATCATGTACAGTGCACATACTGTAGATTACGTACAGTATATATGCACTGTATATTGCATACAGTGCCTACTGTATATCGTGTACTGTTTGTACCGTACAGTTCGAGTACAATATCAAATGGGTTCTAAAGTTCCATCTTACAAACTATAACTAGATTACGTGAACACGTTCATTAACGCCAGAAATGATGACAACAATAATAACTCTAATTAAAAAAAAACACCCTACAACTTTGTTTCAGCAACACGTGAAACGTGCATATTTACATAATAATTACATGATTAAAAAACAACTGCATTTACACAACAACAACAACAACGCGTGGGATTCCCCTCGATAACATAGCAGTCACTTGAGCACAACTATGGCATTTGTGTTCTGTCCGTATGGCTTGGTCTTGTCTCTACCACCATACGGTATCGTTTTGTTTCTATTGTCATCGCTCGGGCTCATCATCATGCGCTTATCCCTTTCATGTATGTTGAGCTGCGTATACTCACGGCGATGCTGTGCGTCTCAAATTGTTCAAATTGTATCGACGTAGCGTTGTGTTTACACGCGAAGGGCTCAATGACATTGTTGTTGTGAAGGGCGTTCTATATGTTAGTTTGACCTACGCCGCGCTGTTCTAACGTCTAGATTCTTACGCACGTGCCGCCCGCGCGTACAAAACAACATCAGTCGATCGTTTGATCAAACACGAGCAATTGATCAAAGTCGACCAACCGAACAATTTCAGTGGATCGATTGATCGTTACGAGCCCATGCACGAGGACGGATATCACCGGGGAAACGTAATAACCCACGAACAAATATTGCCCAGAAAGTTGTAGGTGGATTCAATTGCTACAAAGGGGTAGAATCATTGTTCAGAGTGATGTAGAGTAGGCGAATGAAATTGACGATGTATAACTCAGTGTCAGTTATTTGTGCCGCCATCTGTGGGGGTGTGACGTTGGGGGAAGCTGCCTGGAGTTTAATTGTCTCGTGATTGAAGGCAAGACAAGACTTTTTTTGAATACTACTAATAAAGTGCGTGGTTGCCACGTCCCGTGTACCACGGTACACGCGTCTCACCGAGTTTCCCAATTCACCGCGGTTCAAATCTAAATGTTACGTCGCGCTTCGTGATGTCTAATCACGTACCGCGTGATGTCTAATCACGTACCGCGTGATGTCTAATCACGTACCGCGTGATGTCTAATCACGTACCGCGTGATGTCTAATCACGTACCGCGTGATGTCTAATCACGTACCGCGTGATGTCTAATCACGTACCGCGTGATGTCTAATCACGTACCGCGTGATGTCTAATCACGTACCGCGTGATGTCTAATCACGTACCGCGTGATGTCTAATCACGTACCGCGTGATGTCTAATCACGTACCGCGTGATGTGAACCTCATGGCGGTACCCCGGGGTGCCACAGGTGCCACAGGACCCCGGCTCTCGCATAATGTCCGTGATGTAGCCACTTTTAGTCTGTTGATAGTCGGAGACGCTGGCAATCGACTCATCTCGACGAGCTGCACACGATGGACGATTCAGAGTTGAATTTTTCGATAACGGATTTTTTATCTTGATGTTTGGCGTTTCGACATCGCGGAGTGTGGCACTGACTTCGGATTGATTGGTACCCCAGTCGAGGAGTTAAGTACACTCCTGGAAAAAAATAGTGTCCCAGAAATAAAATATTTAATTGCCTCGGTCATTTTGTCTTATTTGGGTACCCCGGGGTAGCGCCATGAGGATCATATGCACACACCATCTCTCTGCCTGACAAAGATCCCACGTGTAACCTTGAACAGACTGTTGGGGCAAGTGGTGTTTTAGCGAGCACCTATTGAGGCCGGCACGGCACATCAGGGGGGGGGGGGGGAGTGGCAAGCACCACACCCGGCAGCCTTTGTATCCCCAGTGGCGATGATTTTACACCACACAAGGAACTCGTTTGAGGCTGAGTCGACCTAGGGGAGGCCCAGGACCGGTTCAGATATAATCGTCACTGGTGTTGGCCGTGAGCGGGAATCGAACCCGGGTCGCCGGGTTCGTAGCGCAGCGCGCTAACCGCTACACGACCGCTCCCCACACACACACATCCACGATCTCTATCTTTATTTGAAACAAATCATGTGGTAATGCTTCTGCATTGCCACAGAAGCACCTACAAAATTAACGACTGCAAAACTCAACACATTCGTCAATAACACGGCCTTAAAGAGAGGCAGAGTTACTCTGTCTCTCTGGCCTCTCCGTGCGCTGTGAAGAAGGGCCATTGCCCGAAACGTCACCTGTTATGTTAATTTGCGTTAGTGCTCTGTGACGTGAACACACACATCAATACACACAATGCCTCGCACTTTGAATACGAGCTCCGTACATCGCGTGGAACACGCGCACACACACAAGATCCTCTACCACGAATCGCATCAGCACTCTCCCGCGTCACGTGGGACGCCGAGCAATCATCAGGCGCGTGCAGCGTGCAAGGACCACATTTTCACTCCAACCGAAGCGAATCGGCACAACCTCGACGAGACGCAGTGCGTCGCGACAAACGGGGCAGATTTCATCCTGTGTTAGAAGAAGAAGACGAAGAGGAAAAAAAAGGTTTGCTGGCTGGAGGGAGGTACGGAGGAGGGTCGCGTCCAACTGTTGGACGCGAGGCGGTCGCGACTCCTACGGCGGCGACAGCGGCGGCGGCGCGAGTGGCCCCGGCGGCGGTGTCTGCGCGCCGTCTCGTGAGGTCGTCCGCCCGCTCATCCTCCTCCTCCTGACGACGACCACCCGCTTGCGCCCCGCCGGGTGAACGCGCGAGCGCTTGACGCTGCGCCAGTACGTGGCGCCGGAGACGAGCGCCGTCAGGGCCACCAGCGAGGCGGCGCTGCCCATGCAGATGGCGACGAGAGCCCAGGGCCGGTGCTTTAGGCCCAGCACGTACGTGAGCACCCGCTCCTTGATCTGCGAGGGGTTCGCGGTGTCCCCGGCGCCACGGGTTACAGAGTCCCGGACTTTGTACGTGAGCGGCACGCGTTTTTGTCACTCCACTGCTGGATGAGGGCCTCCTCATCCCCCTCCCCTCGTCATCCCCCCCACCCCTTACCCCCCTCCCCCGCCTTGTGCTGTGTTTGGTTACGGATGCGGGGTTATTTGACCGAACTTCAAGCGACCTTACACACTCGTCAGCAACACTATAAAATCATTGAAGTTTCAGGCAATGAGATCTTCTTCAAAGCACATCGTGAGGTCCTTGCACGCTGCACGCGCCCGATGATTGCTGAGCGTCCCACTTGACGTAGAGAGTGCTGATGCAAATTAAGGTCGCGATCTTGTATGTGTGTGTGCACCTCCGATTAGCACGGTTCGTTACTTACGGTGCGATAGAAGTTCAACACACACGTGCGTTTGTGTGTGTTGCACGCGCAAAGCACGCAATGCTCTATGGTGAATGGCCATTGCCTGAAAAATCGCAGATTTGTTTTTATTTTAAGGCAGTGTTGTTGTTGACGAATGGTTTTGAGCTTGCGTTGTTAACTGTGCTTATGCACCGCTGCTATATTGCCTGCCTTCATCAACCCACAGTGAGCAGCACGATCAAGGACGGTCGCCGCGTCCGTCCGTGGCACAGCGAGCTGACAGCGTACCGTGCCATCGCACACGCACGGACGAAGATCTCACGCGTAGCCTTAACAGGCTGTTGGGGCAAGCGCTGTTTGCGAGCACCTGTGAAGGCCGGCACGACACACGAGGGGGTGGGTGACCAGCACCATGTCCGGCCGCCTTTGTCTCCCCAGTGGCTATCTTTACACATTGCTCATTTGAGGCTGAGTCGACCTAGGGGAGACCCAGGACCGATTCAAATAATCGTCACCGGTGTCGGCCGTGAGCGGGAATCGAACTCGGGTCCCCAGGGCAACGCGCTCAACGTTGCACACGCACACCCACACACGCGCACACGCGCACACACGCGCACACGTGCGCGCACGCGCGAACCCTCACCTCCTCGGTGATGTCGAGGCGCAGCACGGCGGTGCTGCTGAAGGCCGGCGTGCCGCCGTCCTTCGCCTGCACCAGCAGCGACCAGCGGCAGTCGCGCCGGTGCGTGAGGTTGCGCAGCGCGGCCAGCGAGCGGATGGACGGCCGCAGGCGCAGCTCGCCGGACGCCGTGTCCAGCTCGAAGACGTCGAGCGGCTCGGCGCGCTCCAGCGAGTAGTGCACCACGTTGTTGGGCGCCTCCGCGTCGCCGTCCGTCGCCTGCGCGCGGCCACCAAGAGACGTTCGTTTCGAGGTTCGAGTTAAAAAATAAATATTTTTTTTTGTCGCTGAAGCGGGTGAGATACGCAAGGGACCAGCGAGACCTGGTGGGGCGTCAGTCTGCCAATGTTTGTTTTTGCGACAGCTCAACTCTCTCGTCGCGACGACCCGCGCCGCCCGACCGCTCCGCGTCGCTCACCAGGATGTGCAGCGCCTTGCCGATGACCATCACTTCCTGCAGCACGCTGTCGCTGAACGCCGGCGGGTGCTCGTTGACGTCGGTGACCGCCACGAGGACCTCGGCGATGCCGAACAGGCCGCCGCCATCCTCGGCGCGCACCGCCAGGTGGTGGCGCGTCCGCGTCTCCGCGTCCAACTCGGCCCACGGCTGCGTGTAGAGCACGCCCTTGCTCGGGTGGATCAGGAACCTGCCCGGGGGGTTCGTTGGGGTGAGGGGTTCAGTGGGTCAGGGTTTAAATGGGTCAGGGGTTAAATGGGTCAGGGGTTCAATTGGTCAGGGGTTCAATTGGTCAGGGGTTCAATGGTTCAGGGTTTAAATGGGTCAGGGGTTCAATGGTTCAGGGTTTAAATGGGTTAGGGTTTCAACGGGTCAAGGGTTCAATGGGTCAGGGGTTCAATGCTTCAGGGTTTAGATGGGTCAGGGGTTCAATGGGTCAGGGGTCAATGGTTCAGGGGTTCAATGGATGAGGGGTCAAAGACACTGAGACGGTGTTAATGAACATTCCTCCGAATATATGGGAGCGGCGAACCCCCCCCCCCCCCCCCGGGGGTTTTCGGGGGGTCAGGGCAACGTTCACCAAGAGAGCCTGGCTTGCCGCCTCGCTTCCGGCTGGTTTTGACTTTGAATGTGTGTGCGTATGTATGTATGTTGGACTTAGTTCGCACCGTACAAAGTCAACCGTCCTCCTTGGACGTGTGGGGGTCGGAAAACAAACTAAACACAAAAAGCAGTTCTAAGAAAATGAGTTTTCAATTTAGATGATTTTAAAGTACACAGCTCCAGTGGCTTCATAATATCGGAAATAAGAGCATTCCAGACGGGCGCAGAAGTGCATCTGAATATCAGCAATGCAGTGACCATCTTTGTCCAATGGCTCGCCAAATCTGCTCCCAAGAAACCTATAAATTTCCCCCGAGGGCATTAAAAGTCCAAAATGTATTGAGTTGCATCGTGATGATAATACTAATAATGTAACGCCACTCCAGACGTCGCGTTTACTTGCAGCTATCCCCTGAAGCTACGCGTCCCCTTTATTGTCCATTCCCTTCCGCTTCCCTCCCCTCACCCCTCCACTCCGTCCCGTCCCTCCCCCGACCTTTCGTGACCCCCACGTGCCCTCTGTTAAGGTCACTCATCCCTCGACCCTTGCATGCCCCTTGCCATCTAAATCACTCCCTTTGTGTTACCGGTTTTAAACTACGTAAAGTGCCGTGAGCTTTGGCGCTCCATGAAAACAAATCAAGAGAAGCATTCTGAGCTGCCGTTTTTTCCCGTGGCAAGGGGAGTTGCCGGAATACATCGCGACTCACATGTCGGCCTCCTCGCCCACCAGCGTGTATCGTATCTTGCCGAACTTGCCAGAGTCTGGGTCCACAGCCTGCACGGCGGGGTAGAAGGGCCGGGGAGCACAGGGAGAGCGAACAGGTGAGAGAGAGAGAGATTGCGTTGTGAGTCGACCGCCATCGTGCCCAGTGTGGAGAAAACCCACGGACACGAAGGGAAAACACTGAACCATCCCACCTTACACGGGACACGCCTGGTGAAATCCTACTTGCTGTACTGCCTTATGCAGACAGATTATAGACCTGAGGGTGTGACCTCGTTCACATGATGGCTCCATTTCTGCGTAATCCACCGACGCCACTTGTCCAATGTCGATGGACTGCAAACAGAAGTTTGATTGCATTGGCAATGTACTTGACAGGATGGGGAAGCTTTCATCCAGCAGTGGATAGGCCATGGCTTATGATGATGATGCTGATCGATGGTGATGGCCTGAGGATGCGTTCATCCAGTAGTTGGTACAATTATTGAGAATAATTATTATGATGAGCTATGGCGGTGATAGACAATGGATGATTATGACCTATGGTGATGACAATGGGAGGACTTAACCCAGCAATGGATAGAGACTGACCAATGATAATTATGATATTGATAAATTACAGCGGTAGCATGGGGAGACATTCATTCGGCAGGGGATACACGATGGCTTGACGAACATTGTGAAAATAACGATGGCTTTATGTTGGCGCAAGGCCTTCATTCAGAGGTTCTACAGGTGTGCAAGTCGGGAAGTGGGGGCTACGAGCTCTCGTGCCTGCACTGTGGTGACGATGGACCCTCCGGGCGAGTTCTCCCGGATCTTGGCCACGTAGTGGTCCTGCGAGAAGCTCGGGACGTTGTCGTTGATGTCCAGAAGGTCGATGTTTATCTCCACAGCCGAGGAGCGGCGCTCCACCGTCTCCATCTCCTCCGCCACGATCTGTCCGGTCAGTTGGTGATTTTAAAATTGAAATGACACGTGCTTGTGCTCGGGTGGAGCGGCGGTGCAAAGCCTCGCGCAACGTGCTACGAACCCGGCGACCTGAATGGTTTAGGACTCCCGGGCCATGGCTGGCATTAGCGGCGAGTGATACCTGAACCGGTCCTAGGTGCTCCCCTTCGTTGCCAGCAGTGGATTGACAAAGGGTTGTTAAATAATAAGATGTTAATATTTGATGAAGACAATGGTGATTGGTGATGACAATGATGATGAGGGAGTGGTGGCGCAGCGATTAGCGCAACGCGCTTTAAAATCTGGCGCTGTTCGTCTCCATACATTTGGAGGAATTTTCATTATCGCCATCTCGGTGTCTCTGACCCCCGACCGATTCAACCTCTGACGAATTGAACCCCTGACCCATTGAACCCCTGATCCATTGAACCCCTGACCCATTCAACCCCTGATACATTGAACCCCTGACCCATTGAACCCTTGACCCATTGAACCCCTGACCCATTGAACCCCTGACCCATGGAACCCCTGACCCATTGAACCTCTGACCAATTTGACCCCCGACCCATTGAACCCCTGACCCATTGAACCCCACCCTGCCACTGTTGTCGTTGACCCTGGGACCCATACCTGGCAGCGGATGCTGCGCGTCCGCTCGTAGTCGAATGCCGCCGAGTTGGTGACCACGAGCGCCACAGGGGCCTCGTTGAGGACGGTGCCCGGAACGACGCGGAGGGCGGCGCCGGCGCCCAGCACGCGCAGACGGAACTTGGCGTTGGCGCCCTGCGTGTGCGGCGGGGTGGCACACGCACGGACGACGCCGACACGGAAGCGCGCGTGAGCACGTGTGCCAGTGCGGAAGATCTCAATCGTGGAGGGGTCGTCCGGAAAGAACTCGACAGCCCACGGCGAGATCTCGTTGTCCAGAACGTGCTACATTGTGAAGAGTAAGGCGGGTCAATTCTGTCTCGTTCCTAGGCGACTGCTAGGTGTAGCAGGGTGGGTGCGCCGTTCACCGTCGAATCTCGGAGCGCGCAAGTGGCTCAGTAGTGCCATTGTTTTGAAGACATTGTACTCATCACAGAGAACTGTAGTGACACGACCACACTCTACAATAGCTGGCACAAAACTATGCTAAAAGCTATCCCATATATGGTCTTGCAGGAGCTTCAATACTGATGCAATTATTATATTTTATATAAAACTGATGACGTACACGTACGTCATTAAAATTGGAAACGGTTAAGTGGATGGCAAGGGCGATTACTGCATTTTTCCGCATATAACCCGCGGGGTATACCACTTTTTACAGACAAAACAAGACCCTGCGAGGTTTATGTAGGTGTGGGCTATCCCAAAAATATTTTACACGTGTGACATGTCATAACTCGTAAAAAAATTTCATGGTAGGACTATCCACTATGCAACACTTACTTTTGACTAAAGCACTGTTGAATAAACCACACACTAAAATTGCACATGTTATCACGTTTTAAATTATTCGAATTGTTTGTACAATGAAACGACAATGTTTGAAGTGGGCGCACTTTGTTTACCGGTGACGGGACAGCTGGGGGGACAGAGAGGTGGGGGATTGGGGGTGAGGCGACGGCGTTACCGTAGTGGCGCTATTGTCTGCACAGTGTGCAATCTACCAGTGCTAAAACTGTACTTACTTATCTACCAGTTAGGTGTTACTTATTTATTGGATATTTACTTTTGTTACTTATTTACTGTTTTAAGTTCGCTCGTTTCCGGTTAGTTTGTTTTCTTTGTGCACATTATGATTTTAATGTTAACAATTCATAGTGGAATGTATTACAAATGTAAACTTCGTATTAATATGATGGAATTAAGCTGTGGTAATGACGTTAAAGATATTAATGCATGCGGGGTATATGGAGGTGCGGGCTCTGAAATTTGTTTTACACAAAACGCTATTTTCGCGGGGAATATGCGTCTACGGGTTATAGGCGTATGCGGGCTATATGCGGGAATATACGGTAATTATGGTGGAGGAATGGTGGCGCCGTGGTTCGTGTAAGGAGGCGAGGCCACGTGGGCATGGGGGGGGCGGGCGGGATCGAATTAAGGAATCGATTAAATCGACGGACTGATAACAAAAAATCGATTCGCTTCCTGCCCCAGGCCATGCGCCCACCTTGTCCCCGTCGGACACGGTGATGTTGAGTCCGCGGATGACCTCTCCGAGCGGCGGGTTCTCTCGGATGCTCGTGCGGAACGCGCGCTGCGGGCCCGCGGGGCCGCTGAACACGGGGCTGTGGTCGTTCACGTCCACCACGGTCACCGCGACGCCGGCTAGCGCGCTGGAGCGGCCCAGCGGCGACGCCCCGACCTCGTCCGCCTGCACGGCCGAGCGGCGAGCGGGTAGCGTCACAATAGCGTTACAGCATCATCGTATCTGTATATATGTGTGTGTGTGCGTACACAATGACTTGGGTTCAAAGCAGCATCGTCACAGCGCAGTCACTCGCTGCAGAGGCACTGGAGCCAAGGGGATAGGGGGCGGTACTGGATAAAATACCTGAACGAAGAGCTGATACGAGTCTTCGTTTAATCTCGTCACGTCAGGTACGGTGATGGCTCCGGTAGTTTCGTTGATCAGGAACATTCCATTGCTACCTGCAGCGAGGATTGTGATTATTATTCACAGATGTGTGTGTGTTTGTGTGTATGCAGGGCTTAATTGCCACTGAATATGGTCTGGATGTCTGATGTGCTTGAGTAGATGCAGGTCACGTGTGGTGGGGTAAACAGTGGGTAGCCCCCACCTCTTCAAAGTCATCTGACCAGCATGAAAGAGTAGGCCAAATACCCTCTCTAGACTCGAGGGATCTTGAGAGCTCCCTCTCGTCAAGGCGCTGCCACCAGCAAGAAGTTGCAGGCCTGTGCCTCTTCATTTAATTTTTTGACCCGAGCCTGGCTTTGTTTTGTTGAGAGAGCGGTGCCGCTGTCCTGGGTACCGTTGACGATGGAGTAGCGTATGGGGTTGGGGATCGCCTGGTCCCCGTCGTACGCCACCACCGTGAAGATGTCCGCTCCCTGCGCGCGACGGACGGGACGGCACGAGGGCTCCGAGACGGAGTGCGCGAGCTACGGCCGAGCTACGGAGGCCGCTGCTGCGGTGGCGAGATGTTAACTACCTCGCCTGGTATACAGGAGGTCGTTGAAGATGTTAACTACCTCGCCTGGTATACAGGAGGTCGTGGTAGATGTTGACTACCTCGCCTGGTATACAGGAAGTCGTGGTAGATGTTAACTACCTCGCCTGGTATACAAGAGGTCGTGGTAGATGTTGACTACCTCGCCTGGTATACAGGAGGTCGTGGTAGATGTTAACTACCTCGCCTGGTATACAGGAGGTCGTGGTAGATGTTGACTACCTCGTCTGGTATACAGGAGGTCGTGGTAGATGTTAACTACCTCGTCTGGTATACAGGAGGTCGTGGTAGATGTTAACTACCTCGTCTGGTATACAGGAGGTCGTGGTAGATGTTAACTACCTCGCCTGGTATACAGGAGCTCGTTGAAGATGTTAACTACCTCGCCTGGTATACAGGAGGTCGTGGTAGATGTTAACTACCTCGCCTGGTATACAGGAGGTCGTGGTAGATGTTAACTACCTCGTCTGGTATACAGGAGGTCGTGGTAGATGTTAACTACCTCGCCAGGTATACAGGAGGTCGTGGTAGATGTTAACTACCTCGCCTGGTATACAGGAGGTCGTGGTAGATGTTAACTACCTCGCCAGGTATACAGGAGGTCGTGGTAAATGTTGACTACCTCGTCTGGTATACAGGAGGTCGTGGTAGATGTTAACTACCTCGTCTGGTATACAGGAGGTCGTGGTAGATGTTAACTACCTCGCCAGGTATACAGGAGGTCGTGGTAGATGTTAACTACCTCGTCTGGTATACAGGAGGTCGTGGTAGATGTTAACTACCTCGCCAGGTATACAGGAGGTCGTGGTAGATGTTAACTACCTCGCCTGGTATACAGGAGGTCGTGGGTTCGATCTCCACACCGACGGGATCGAACCCACATGTTCGAACCCACATGCATGTTCTCCCCATGGTCGCGTGGATTTTCCTCTGAGTTTGTGTCGATTTTTCTCCGGGTCCTCTGGTTTTTCTCTCCACATTTGGTATCAACGTCACGTGTTTAGAGTATTTGGCTGCTATACATTTCCCCGTGATAAGCCACTTTGTTGAGCTATCATTTGTGACTCAGTCGCTTCTGAAAAAGAAGCTAATAGCTCAGTGGGCCTTACAAAATAGGAGAAAATATGTGCTGGCTAACAGCACTTGCCCCAACAGTCTGTTAAGGCTATAATGGGTTGGATTTTTGTCTTTTGGTAGTGGTTGTGGTGGTGATGGTTGTGGTGGTGATGGTTGTGGTGCTGGTTGTGATGGCACGGTTGTGTTGGTGGAGGCGGTGGTGGTGGTTTTGGTGGTGGTGGCGGTGGTGGTGGCGGCGGCCGTGGCTGTGGAGGCGGTCGTGGCGGTGGTGGTGGTGGTGGTTTTGGTGGTGGTGGCGGTGGTGGTGGTGGTGGAGGCGGTGGTGGCGGTGGTGGTGGCGGCGGTGGTGGTGGCAGTGAAGGCGGTGGTGGTGGCGGTGGTGGTGACACCGCGGCTACTCACGGAGGGGGTGTCCTCGTACACCACGGCGTGGTAGGGCACACCGACGAAGGCGGGCGGCGTGTCCTGCACGTCGCTCACGCCCACCGTGACGAGCGCCGACGCCGAGAACACCGCGAACGCCTCGCGCAGCTGCCCGCCGCCGTCCTGCGCCGCGCAAGCGATCGGGATGGAGGTGACGGAGGCGGGTAGACGGGCGAGGGAGAGATTTGCTTTGGCGTCGGGGGTCGTGATCGCCGCGGGAGACAATCGCGTTGCGGGGATTTTTACCGGAGGGGGCAGGGGAGGGGAGGAGACGGGAACGGCGTTTCACGTTCTGCGTACGGCTCAAGTTTTCCCAGCCGTCCCAAGCACCGCGACGTTCCAGACTCCGTTGGTGCGGAGTTATCCCGCACAACCCCTGTGTGTAATCCACCGCTGGACGGGGGGGGGGGGTGCCTCCTGCCACGAGGTGCGGGGTCGATAGGGGTTCCATTGACCGTACTTCACCCACGCTGCTCAGCGCCGGTCGGTGAAGGCGGGATGCAAAGATGTGGGAGCATAGAGGTACGGTACAGCTTGCTCTGGACTCTGCTGTCCACCACCACGGGAGCAGAGTTCTCGGATGTTCACGAATGTAATGGCAGGGTCAGAGCTGATGAAAAGCACACTGCAGTGCAGGTCATTCTTGTGTCTTGATGTCACATGTGTATGTCGAACTTCTTTCACACCGTACGTGGCCAACTGTGCTCGTGGCATCCTTGGTGGTTGGGAGCTCCCCGTGGGTGCGTGCGGCTCAGAGAGAGAGCGAGAGAGAGAGAGAGCGAGAGAGAGAGAGCGAGAGAGAGAGAGAGAGCGAGAGAGCGAGAGAGAGAGCGAGAGAGAGAGAGCGAGAGAGAGAGAGAGAGCGAGAGAGAGAGAGAGAGCGAGAGAGAGAGAGAGAGAGAGCGAGAGAGAGAGCGAGAGAGAGAGCGAGAGAGAGAGAGAGCGAGAGAGAGAGCGAGAGAGAGAGAGAGCGAGAGAGAGAGAGAGAGAGCGAGAGAGAGAGCGAGAGAGAGAGAGAGAGCGAGAGAGAGAGCGAGAGAGAGAGCGAGAGAGAGAGAGAGAGCGAGAGAGAGAGCGAGAGAGAGAGAGCGAGAGAGAGAGAGAGCGAGAGAGAGAGAGAGCGAGAGAGAGAGCGAGAGAGAGAGAGCGAGAGAGAGAGAGCGAGAGAGAGCGAGCGAGCGAGAGAGGCACAATGCGTTGGGGAGCGGTAAGTGTTGTGGTGAGCGCTACGCTGCGTCACGAACCTGGCGACCAGAGTTCTATTCCCGCTCACGGCCAACACCGGTGACGATTATCTGAACCGGTCCTGGGCCTCCCCTAGGTCAACTCAGTCTCAAATTAGTACCTGGTGCGATGTGTAAACATCGCCACTGGGGAGACAAAGGCGGCCGGGCGTGGTGTTGGCCACCCACTCCCTCGTGTGCCGTGCCGGCCTTTATAGGTGCTACTCGCTAACAGCACTTGCCCCTACAGTCCGTTACAGGCTATACGGGGATCTTTGTCTTTTTTTGCGTGTGCGGCTGCAGAGGTGGCGAGAGACACACGCATGGGGGAGAGAGAAGTAAAGAAGACAACGCAAGGGGTAACCACCAGAGGTACACTTCTAACTTTCTGTCAACCAGGACGATCACGGCCAAGCTGGGGCCCCGCGTAACGCCGACCACCGCGGGCGGATTTGGAGGTGAAGAAGCTCGCGAGTTGAACGATTGTCCGGGTCGCCCACCCCAAGCCCCACCCACACCACCCACACCACCCACACCACCCACCCACACCACCGACCCCACCCACACCACCGACCCCACCCACACCACCGACCCCACCCACACCACCCACCCCACCCCAAGCCCCACCCACCCACACCACCCCACCCACCCATCCACACCACCCACACCACCCCACACCACCCCACCCAGCCACCCACCCACCCCACCCACACCACCCCACACCACCCCACCCACCAAACCCACCCACCCCACCCACCCCACCCCACCCACCCACACCACCCAACGCACCCACCCCACCCCACCCACACCACCCCACCCACCCACCCACACCACCCCACCCCACCCAACCCACCCACCCCACCCACCCCACCCACCCACCCCACCGCTGCTTCCCCTTCCTCACCTGCGCCACGATGGTGAGGGCGTGGGCGCGCTCCCTCTCGTAGTCGAGCGACGCGTTCGGCTTCAGGCGCAGGACGCCGCTGTGCCGGTCCACCGCGAACAGCCCCCGCGCGCCCTGTCACGGCAGCGAGAGACGCAGCGTCGTCGTCGTCGTCTAATAATCACGATGATACTTGTTGTCGTCGTTGTTGTCGTCGTTGTTGTTGTCGTTGTTGTTGTTGTTGTCGCGTGCGTACACACGCCGTGTCGAGCCCGCTCTCGGAGGCGCCGGGAGCAGGAGCCCCACAGACGAGCGGCGAAGGCAGCACGGAGAGGAGCCGCTGCCAAATTCGCCACCAAAGCCCCCGCGGTCCTCTACAAATCACGAAGGTGTTCATACTCTGTGGTTCTTTCGGTAAAGTCACGTAGGTGGGAAAGTAATAGATCACGACGTTTCGATCGCAACACAAGCAGCCGTCATCAGGTGAGACCGACACAGGGGGGAATGCTGCCTACACAGAGAAAGGGGGAAACACTCCTTCGTCAGGATGTCCCCTGCTGTGTTGGTCTCACCTGATGACGGTTGCTTGTGTTGCGATCGAAACGTTGTGATCTATTATTATTTTTCTACCCACGTGACTTTACCGAAAGAACCACAGAGTATGGATTCCTGCAGTCACGAAAGCTCCAAATCAAGATTCTACAGCATTATCTGTTGGCTGTCCATTGAAAACGGTAACGACGTTATTCAATGTAGACAGTGAATAGCTGTGCAATCTAAATGAGCTACACGTGAAGGATTATATCTAATTGAGGTCACTAGTACTAATTGGTAACTATTCGTAATGTCAATCAAAAAAACTGGTAGGACCATAAAACATTTGAAACAATGTAATTCTCATCAGGCACCACAGTGTAACGTGGTGACTCATGATCCTCTCTGTATCTGTAAGTGCTCTCAAGAAGGATCACGTCGCCTATTGGTTATGGACGCATTTCGTGCGGTGTTGTTTTTCCCTTCCACAGTCACTGACAAGTCGGGTAAAGAGATCGAATTATTGTCACGCAAATAAACCGAGGTTCGTCGGAGACACTTCGCTCCCTTATTGTGCAACAGTTGAAACCGTTCGCCTACGGAGGAGGTCACTGCTGGTGTCGCGTGACGTGATGATGTCCAAGCCGCGTCCTGCTTTTGTAACCGAATGTGTTGTCCAAGTAATGAGTGTTTCTTTGTTTACAAGTGGGAGGAAACCAGAGCCTACCCAGAGAAAGGGGGAAACACTCTATCCGGTAAAGATGGAACAGGCGAGGATCCACATTCCGCTCGACCTGGCCACAAATTATATCACTGGGAATTGTACAGCAGCAGGACACTCTAAACCCGTGACGTCGATTCAAAATGTGGAGGCAAAAATCTGAGGACACGGAGAAAAATCCACGCCACCACGGGGAGAAAGATACACCGCAAACTCCAACATCCAGGCGTCAGGGTCTGGGTCGAACCCACGACGTCCTGTATACCAGACGAGGTAGTTAACATCTACCACGACCTCCTGAATACCAGATGAGGTAGTTAACATCTACCACGACCTCCTGTATACCAAACGAGGTGGTCAACATCTACCACGACCTCCTGTATACCAGACGAGGTAGTCAACATCTACCACGACCTCCTGTATACCAGAGGAGGTAGTTAACATCTACCACGACCTCCTGCATACCAGACGAGGTGGTCAACATCTCCCACGACCTCCTGTATACCAGACGAGGTAGTCAACATCTACCACGACCTCCTGTATACCAGACGAAGTAGTTAACATCTACCACGACCTCGTGTATACCAGACGAGGTAGTCAACATCTACCACGACCTCCTGTATACCAGGCGAGGTAGTTAACATCTACCACAACCTCCTGTATACCAGGCGAGGTAGTCAACATCTACCACGACCTCCTGTATACCAGGCGAGGTAGTCAACATCTACCACGACCTCTTGTATACCAAACGAGGTAGTTAACATCTACCACGACCTCCTGTATACCAGACGAGGTAGTTAACATCTACCACGACTTCCTGTATACCAGGCCAGGTAGTTAACATCTACCACGACCTCCTGTATACCAGGCGAGGTAGTCAACATCTACCACGACCTCCTGTATACCAGGCGATGTAGTCAACATCTACCACGACCTCCTGTATACCAGGCGAGGTAGTCAACATCTACCACGACCTCCTGTATACCAAACGAGGTAGTTAACATCTACCACGACCTCCTGTATACCAGGCCAGGTAGCCAACATTTACCACGACCTCCTGTATGCCAGACGAGGGAGTTAACATCTACCACGACCTCTTGTAGACCAGGCGAGGTAGTCAACATCTACCACGACCGCCTGTATACCAGGCGAGGTAGTCAACATCTACCACGACCTCCTGTATACCAGGCGAGGTAGTCAACATCTACCACGACCTCCTGTATACCAGGCGAGGTAGTCAACATCTACCACGACCTCCTGTATACCAAACGAGGTAGTTAACATCTACCACGACCTCCTGTATACCAGGCCAGGTAGCCAACATTTACCACGACCTCCTGTATGCCAGACGAGGGAGTTAACATCTACCACGACCTCTTGTAGACCAGGCGAGGTAGTCAACATCTACCACGACCGCCTGTATACCAGGCGAGGTAGTCAACATCTACCACGACCTCCTGTATACCAGACGAGGTGGTCAACATCTCCCACGACCTCCTGTATACCAGACGAGGTAGTCAACATCTACCACGACCTCCTGTATACCAGACGAAGTAGTTAACATCTACCACGACCTCGTGTATACCAGACGAGGTAGTCAACATCTACCACGACCTCCTGTATACCAGGCGAGGTAGTTAACATCTACCACAACCTCCTGTATACCAGGCGAGGTAGTCAACATCTACCACGACCTCCTGTATACCAGGCGAGGTAGTCAACATCTACCACGACCTCTTGTATACCAGACGAGGTAGTTAACATCTACCACGACCTCCTGTATACCAGACGAGGTAGTTAGCATCTACCACGACCTCCTGTATACCAGGCCAGGTAGTCAACATCTACCACGACCTCCTGTATACCAGGCGAGGTAGTTAACATCTACCACGACCTCTTGTATACCAGGCGAGGTAGTCAACATCTACTACGAGCTCCTGTATACCAGGCGAGGTAGTCAACATCTACCACGACCTCCTGTATACCAGGCGAGGTAGTCAACATCACGCCATTGTGACGCCCGAGATGTGATTTGGTTTTACGCGAATAACAACAACGGCGCTCTCGTTCAATGAACACTCTATGCCCCATGTAAATGATGTGGCTGGGATGCGGCTGGCACTGCTGCTGTGCGGTGGGGAGTATTGGCGGGAGGGAGTGGGGGGGGGCTGTGAGTGGGGATGTGGCTGGTGGCTGGCGGTGCCAGGCACGGGTTGGTGGAGTCACACCTGCAGGTGGTACAGGATGCTGCCCCCAGAGCCGGCGTCTCTGTCGGTGGCCGTGACTCGCAGCAGGCTCGCCCCGCTCGGACAGTCCTGGCGGCAGAGGGAACCCGTGAGTCAACGAGCCCACCGACAATTTCTCACGATTCTCAAGCTCAGCTGTCGCTCCCCCCTCCTCTTCCCCTGCCGTTGAGTGCGCGCAGCGCCCCAGAGCCCGGCGGCTCGCTCCATGTCTTAGGGAGCTCCGCTCGGCTGGCCTTGGAGCGGCAGCTAGAATGCATCCGGGTAATCCGATATTGTTTTACCCTATATTGCTCTAATCCTATTAGGACAGAGCAAGGCGAGACAGATGTGTCATGACGCAATCATTCCCGGTGCAGCGTTCTGGACTTTTCCGGCTATAATTGTGCACTGGCTGTCCAGAGCATGGCAAAGAGCCGAATGTTGTTTTGCAATAGAGACGTGGCTTATTGTAGGCAGGTATATGGGCGTGTAAGTGTGTGGTTTGTGAATGGATGGGTAGTGTAAGTAGGTGGGTGAGTAGATGGATGGGAGGAGTATTTTGGCAGGCAGACAGGTAAGTGGGTACTTGGGTAGGTATGAAGATATGTGGGTAGGTAGCAAATTGCTTTGGTGGGTTGATAGGTTGGCATATAGGCAGGTGGGTAGGCGGGTGGGCAGGTAGGCAGGTGGGTAGGTAGGTTGATAGGTAGGCAGTGGGTAGGTGGTGAGATAGGCAGGTGGGTAGGTGGATGGGCAGTTCGGCAGAGAGGTGGGTTAGGAGCGTATCTCGGCGAGCAGGTGGGGACCTCACCTCAGGCACAGTGACTACGTAGGGCATCCCATCAAACACAGGTGGCTCATCATTGACGTCCGTCACGAACACGCGAGCCTTCTCCACGACCTGCCAGAGCATGCCATGGTAATCGTCGTCGTTCAGTTTATCCACAAGTGCCTCAATGAGTCTCAAAACAGCTTTACTTGTTGAGGAGCCTCCGACTTTGGGATGTTTGTCAGTAGCCCGAAGCAGCCGCAGAAAACCCAATGCGAACACAATATGGGGGGTGATATCACGCGGTCAACAGCACCACTCTCACCCGTGTAGGGACGCTTAAAATACGATTCGCTCATAGGCCAGTATAACTTCCCACCCCCCTACAGGCATCACCACTCCAGTGTACCAGGCGGCGCGGGTGAGCGCCTACGGAAGGGAACGAATCCGCGTGGAGGAGGACTTTGCTCGCTCGCTCGCTGGCTTACCGTGTTCAGTCCGTCAGAGATGCTCACCATCACGTCCAGCTCGTCCACTCTCTGGGCGCAGGGGAACAGAGGAGCACACAACGATCCCTCCCGTGACAGACTGTAGGTTGCAAGTGCTGTTAACGAGCACCTATGAAGGCCGGAACGGTACACGAGGGGGTGGGTGGCCAGCACCATGCCCGACCGCCTTTGTCTCCCCAGTGGCGATGTTTACACAACGCACCAGGTACTCATTTGAGGCTGAGTCGACCTAGGGGAGGCCCAGTACCGATTCAAATAATCGTCACTGGGTGTTGGCCGTGAGCGGGAATCGCACCCGGATCGCCAGGTGTATAGCGCAGCGCGCTAACCGCTGCACCACCGCTCACACAGACACAAAGACAAACACACAAAGACACACACAGACACAAAGACAGACAGACACAAAGACACACACACAAAGACACACACAGAGACACAAAGACAGACACACACACACTCACACACAACAACCGCCATTCGCCACTAAGTGGCGGTGACGTCACCATGACGCTTGTGCCAGGCTATGTGCACCCTGAGGCCACGTGAAGTGTCGAACGCCCGCTGGCAGGTGGTCACGGGGCAGACCCAGGTGCCACGGGTCGACTGACTGAGATGACTGGCTGATGCACCACCTGTGCCCCCTACTGTGCCAACCTGCTGTGCTTTAGCCACCCGGCGCTCCGCTCGCTGTTGTGAGCGTCGCTCCTCCGCCCTCCGTTGTTGTTGGAGGGCGACTGCCTCCAACTGCCCAGTAGCATCCTTCACGAGCCTCCTCCACAGAGGCCAATCTTGACACCGCTGGTACCAGTCATCGGCAAGTCCACTCAGCTCCACGTCCTCCTGTACCACATCACTCCATCTCTTCTCTAGCCCGTGCCGCGCCCGCTTAGCGCCCTCAATCCGGCCAAACAAAGGCTGTTTCGGTATGCGGTGGCTGGGCATGCGGGCTACATGACCCAGCCATCGCAGCCTTGCCTGCCGGAGGAGCTCACCGATGGGACCCTGCCCAGATCTTTCAAGGATTTGTGAGCTCCTCACACAATCCAGTCTGGTTAAACCCAGGATGGATCGTAGGCAGGCCAGCCTAAATGTTTCTAACCGGCGAAGATGTTCCATTAGGGGGGTCCACGTTTCGCAAGCGTAGAGAAGGGAGGGAATGACCGTGGCCGAGAAGACCTAAAGCTTAGTGCGGAGCGACAGACCAGGTAGCTTCCACACAGCGTTACGCAACCGATGAAAAGATATTGCCGCTCGACTGATTCGGAGTGAGACCTCTGCTGTTAAACTGGAGCCAGTCATAAGCACACTGCCCAGGTATGGGAAACTCTCCACTCTCTCCACAACTGCCCCATCACCGATTGGGAGTTGTGGGGGTGGAGTGTCCGATGGTACAAAATACCCAGGCAGGTGCTTAGTTTTGGTGGGGCTGATGGTAAGGCCCCACCTCTTAGTGGCACGCTCCAGTCTCAGCAGCAGCGTCTCCAACTCCTCCTCTGACTGAGCAGCTATTACCAAGTCATCAGCATACATAACGTGGTTGAGCAATAGGGAGCCATCCCTTGACCGCACCCGGGCATCGATTAGCCTCCCATTATATCTGTACCATATGGAGATTCCCCCGGTACAGCTATTGAAGGCTTCACGAACTACGTGGTCAAAATAGATGTTAAATAATGTGGGAGCCAGAGGACATCCCTGTCGCACCCCAAGGTGTACAGGGAATGGCTCTGACTCCCGGCCACGTAGTTTTACCCGGGCCCGCGCACCATCATGAAGGTCCTTAATGATCGTGAGCAGAGGGTCAGGTACTCCAAAAGCACGAAGAACGACCCAGAGCCCAGGCCTACTGATGGTATCATAGGCCTTGACCAGGTCAATAAAGCAGAGATGTAGGTCTTGTTGGAATTCCCTACACCTCTGCTGTAGCAGACGGACAGAAAATATGGCATCTGTGCAGGACCGCCCTTTCCTGAAACCGCATTGGGGCTCCGCAAGCCTCTCCTCAGCGTGCCTGGCAAGGCGATGCTGAATAATCCTTGCCAGGACCTTTCCCGGCACACTGAGGAGTGAGATGCCCCTGTAGTTGTTACAGTCTGTGCGGCCCCCCTTCTTAAAAAGGGGGACCACCAGGGCATCCTTCCAATCCTGCGGAACCCGTCCAGTGGTCCAGACTGTTGTTATGATGTCATATAGGGCAGTCTGTGCACAAACGCCACCCTCCCTCAGCATTTCGCTTGGGAGATCATCTCTGCCCGCTGCCTTTCCTGGTCTCAGACTCCGGATCGCCTTCAATACTTCCTCAGCAGATGGCACCTCAGCCAGCCACTCACAGGGGGTGACTTCATCCAATATTTGAGGCACCGCAGCCTCAGCAGGGTCATCCTCACTTTGTGCCACGGTGTTTTCCTGGCTGAGGGATTTTCCCTCCCCCAGGACCTCACAGAAATGCTCAGCAAATCTGCAAACCTGTTCCTGGGGGTCGGAAATTGGATCACCGTTTTTTCCCCTAATGATGGTAATAGGTGTGGCGCTGCAGGTTACTTTTTTGATGGAGTTAAATAGAGATTTGTGATCACGGGCCACTGAGGCAGACTCCATCTCCTCAGCAACCCGCGACCACCACCCATCCTTGCAGCGCCTCACGGCTCTCCGAACCTCCGAGCGAAGGCTGCGGTAAGCCTCCTCATTCTCTGACGTGGGATTCTGTAGCCGATGACAGTGGGCCTGTCGCTTTTTCTCAACCATCCTGAACAACTCCTCTGTCATCCAGGGTCTCTGGGGAGGTTTGGACCGCGTACCCAAAGCAGCCATTGCAGCTGCATGAGTCACAGTCCTAAACCTCACCCATTTACCCTCGACATCAGGAGGAGTCGGGGACGATGCCAATCCCAGCCGCAAGCGATGATGAAATTCTCGCTTGCAACTTTCATCAGATAACTGAGACCAGGCCACTTTAGGTTGGAATGGGGTCCTGGGTGTACACCCACCACCGGAGTGGAAGAATGGCAGGCGCATCTTACAGATGACTAGTCGATGGTCAGAGGGCAGATCAGCTCCACGGTAGGTCCTGGTGTCAAGGACATGGGCTCGCATTCGCTGGTCCGTCACTATGTAGTCCAGCAGATGCTCTTGCTTGGACCCGGCATGCATCCATGATGTTGTGTGGATGCGCCGATGCCGGAACAGCGTGTTGGTAATTACAAGCCCATGGGCTGCACAAAAATCTAGCAGCCTCCTACTGTTGTTATTGAGCTGATCTGGCCCATGCCCTCCAATCACTCCAGACCAGGTGCCAGTATCATGACCAACTCGGGCATTGAAGTCACCCAACATGATGACTCTATCCCGAGGGGCCACTTTAGCCAGCACCTGTGACAGGAGGTCATAGAAGGCATCTGACTCATCGGCTTTGCCTGCATCCCTCCACGGATGTTCATCTTCGGTGGGGGCATAAGTAACCACGACCACCATTCCTCGCCTCCGGTTGATGGGAAGGCGAGCCCAAAGTAGCCTGGGGCTTACAGCTTCCCACACCTCACCGCCACGCTCCCACGCCCCCTTCATTCTTTTGTTCAAAAGAAGAGCCACACCCTGTTGTTTGGCAGTCTGCTGCCCCGAGTAGAGGACTGTCCACCCCTCATGGTGGCAGGAGCCAGAGCCAGTCCACCGGACCTCCTGAATGCCGCATAGATCCAGGCGGTACCGGTCCAGCTCCCGACAGAGGAGTGGCAGCCTCTCCTCTGCAGTGAGCGTTCGAACATTCCACGTGGCCACCCGTAGTGGCTTTTCGTTGTTTCTGGAGTAGCCCCGAGGGTAGGTATTCAATCTCCTGGCTCCGCCAATTGGGGTTTGGCCAGGAGACGTCATAGACGCCTGGCCCCCCGGGGCCTCCGGCACAAGCTTAGTTGTTACATATTTCAGTTTAATTCGTGGTTTCGTGGTAATTAATTGAAGGTGGAGGGGTTACCAGCCCCTCGCACCCGTCCAGAGCCCCCGTTTAGCCCCTGTGGTGGACACATACGCCATGAGGGGAGGAGCCAATCAAAATTGGACCTCCCACCACAGCACTGTCCACGACAGAGTTGCCCGTCCGGCACCGCGAGGAGGTAGGGGGTTGTTTTGCCGGAGTCACAGACACACACAGACACAGACAGACACACTCACACACACACACACAGAGACACACACACACTCAGACAGACACATACACACAGACACACACAGACAGACACAGACAGACACACACAGACACACAAACACACACAGACACACAGACACACACAGACAGACACACTCACATACAGACACAAAGACAGACAGACACTCACACACACACAGACACACACACACAGACACACACACACAGACACACACACAGACACACACAGACACACTCACAAACAGACACACAGACAGACACACTCACACACAGACACACACACTCACAGTCACACACACACAGACACACAGACACACAGAAACACACACACAGACACACACAGACAGACACTCACACACCTCACGGTCCAGCGGTACCACCAAGGTCACGTTGCCCGATCGCGGCTCCACCGCGAAGACCGCCTTCTGCCCCGGGGGCGCCTCCATGCCGTACGTCACCCGCGCTCCCTCTGGGTCGCTGCCATTGAGCGTGAACACCTGGGTACCTGGATGCACGTGCGTGTGCGCGCGTGTGTGTGCGGTAGTGTTGCGGTTAGCGCGCTGCGCTATGAACCCGGCGACCCGGGTTCGATTCCCGCTCACGGCCAACAGCAGTGACGATTATCTAAAACCGGTCCTCGGCCTCCCCTAGGTGGACTCAGCCTCAAATGAGTACCTGGTGCGGTCTGTAAACATTGCCACTAGGGAGACAAAGGCGGTCGGGCGTGGTGCTGGCCACCCACCCCTTCGTGTACCGTTCCGGCCTACATAGTTGCTCGCTAACAGCACTTGCCCCTACAGTCTGTAAAGGCTATACGGGGGATCTTTGTGCGTGTGTGTAAGTGTGTGTGTGGGCATGACTCAGCCTCAAATAAGTACCTGGTGCGGTGTGTTTCGTCAACATCGCCACGAGGGAGACAAACGGGGCCGGGTGTGGTGCTGGCCACCCAGCGCCTCGTGTGCCCTGCCGGCATTCATTGGTGGCACTCGCTAACAGCGCTTGCCCCAAAATTCTGTTCAAACTTTACGAGGGCTCGTTCTATGAGAGCGCCAATGGAGTGGCTAGCGCACTGCGTTGTTGGGGGCACAGTTAAAGTTTAAACACGCGTCAAATGCCGAACAAAATGAATACCCTAGAGATATGTTTTTTGAAATCCTGTTCAATATTGTACCAATATTTTTTTTATGTCAGGAGAAATAATTTGCTAATGGCTCAGCCCCTTTTTCTCAATTTAAAAAAAAAAAAATCAAATTCTTGTAGTCAAGTGTGAAATTGGTGAAGCCAATATCGGTAGTTGTACGGTACTCTGCTCCCACGCCGATTGCTCTCTCTCTTGACCAACTGACGTAACGATGTCCGTGGCATTGCCTCGATAACAACGCGAGACTGCATTTCTCCTTCGGTTGTTTGCTGACAAGCCATCATCTCGTACGGGATGGACATTTCACTCGAGTGACACTTGTTCCCGGGGTCTCCCTGGGACGCTTTTTACCCACGACGGTGTCTTCCGAGATGCTCGTGAAAGCCATGTTCCCTCCCTCGTGGAAGAACGGAGCGAAGTTCGCTTGCGCTGCGTAGAGGACAAAATAGTCGTTGAGTTAATTAGATTAATAACTCGCAACAATGGCATCCACCATAACCATGCCAATGGGGCACAATCAGGGATTCACATCTTACTCAATATTTTCCGGGTCACTGCCACTGCTAGAATACAAAGTAGGCCTCTCGATAATAATCCTATATTATTGTACCCTATTTGTCGATCATCGTAGCAGGTACAAAATAAGTATCAAGTGATCAACATCAGATTGAGATGATTGAAGCGTTATGCTAAAATAATTCCTGGAACAGTGTTCCATGCAGGCTGTTTCCGGATGAATGGAAGCATTTCTACAACAATATAATAATCTTATGTTGAGGTGGCCACGTGGCTCAGAGGTCAGATGTCAGAGCGCTGAGCTGGCACTGCTGAGATCCGCGGTTCTAATCCAGGGGCTGCCTTATGATTAAACCGGGTTCTCAAGTGTGTTGAGCTGATGGTATCAGCCCTGTCACCCATGATTGCACAAAAACAACCGTGCCATTTCATTTGATTATGCACATTTTCTCTCCGTGGTAGGAAGCTGCTTGCCTCTAGTCAGAGATCACTTAAAGGGATTTCAGAAGTAGTTTCGTGATATCCAATTCCATGGACAATTTTCGAACAGGAAGAGCTGCGCTGCATTGCGATTATTCATCTCGTCTGGCATGAAACCGATAGCAAAATCAGGATACAGCTGTGGAAATAAAAATTCTGAATTTATTTTTTTAATCAAAAAATTAAAAACGTTCGTGGCCTCGTGTAATTTCAGATGTTCTCGAAGGGTCATAACGGTGGCTTATCGATAGGTCGAGTCTATGCGTACAACAATAATTAATGCAAAAACATCGAATTCATATCTCCTCAAATTTAGGGACAACATTGTTGAACTTTTAATAATAATAATAATAAATATCTGGCTGCAAACGTTTGAATCTAGATTTCATTAATAGTTCATGAAGGCATCCACATACGAAGTCAGGTTTTCAGTAACTCGAAGGTTTAAGTTTGTGGGACTCAAGTCGATGTAAAGTGAACGAAACCCACAGGTGGCTACTCATCATCAGCCATGATCGATCCACTACTGGATGAACGCCTCCCAAAGCCGTAGCCGTCTCTCGCGGCCATGCTTTGGAGAACAACTGGCTATTGGCGCTCCGATTAGCACGGTTGGCTTCGTACGGTGTGAAAGAAGCTCAACATATAACACACAAGTTTAAAGTCGAATTTGTTCCCACTCAAGCAGCCCTGAACCAGTGGTGGAATGTCCACATTCCTGTGGCGAGTGAAAGTTTATGCAAAGAACAACCACTGTCGATTCTCTATTTCAAATAATTATATGTAGATTTTTTTTAAAATGAAATAAATAAATAACCGCCGCGTCTCCCCTCACTATTGTTCACATACCAGCGGATGAGGGTCACAGGGGTTGTTTGACCATACTTCACTACGCTCTAACACGTCTCATAAGCGCACAAGGAGTCAGTGCATGCTCCACCAAATGGTCAATGACTTAAAAGCAGCCCGTGGCTTCGGCTGTCAAACAGTTAACGAGAGGAGACGTATGACGAACAACGGCACACACAGCAAGCGAGGATGAAGATGCTGCAAAGCAGGAGGAGGACGGAGGAGGGAGTAAGGAGAAAAAGAAGACGCGGAAAGATGAGCGGCAATGGTGAGACTCACTCGCAGGCGCGAACAGCAGCGCGCAGATGGCGAAAAATAGCGGGAGGCAGTCGTGAGACGGAGGCATGCTGACGATCCCAGAGGACTCGCGAAATCGCGAGTCGCATCCTTCGCGCGCGTCAACGCATTTACTCCCACGAATAACGCCGGCGGCCTCGACACGCGACGTTTCGAGGCAGGCGTTTTGGGGGGGTGAGGGTGCGCCCTTAGCGCAGGAGCGGCGACTCGTTCATTTGTCACGGGACAGTGTCCAGGGACGCAGATTATGGGAGGCGAAGCCTAATTAACGGGAGTGGATTTAGCCGCTCTGCTGCCTAATCTTCTTCCCGCGGCTTAGAGAGCTTGCGGGGTGCGTGGTGGTGGCAGTTGTGGTTTTGGTGGTTTTGGTGGTGGTGATGGTAGCAGAGGAGCGAGGCTCACAACAACGAGCGGAGCGCCGGGCAGATAAAACACAGCAAGTTGGCGCAGCAGGGGGCACAGATTATGCATCTGCCAGTCATCTTAGTCATGGCACCTGGGTCCGTACCATGACCTCCTCCAAGCGAGCATTCGACACTTCACGTGGCATTAAAGTGCACACAAGCGCCGTGGTAAAGTCACCGCCACTAAGTGGCTCATGACGGCTGTTGTCGATGGTGGTAGTGGTGGTCGCGGACGTGGTGGCGGCGGTGGCTGTGGTGGTGCCGGCGGTGGTAGTAGCGGTCGTGGCGGTGGTGTTGGAATTCGTGATATTGGCGCGCAAGATACGTAACGGAGGACAAATAAGGCGTTTTATGAACATCATCCCAGGCAGGGACATCCTGTGGACCACGCTGGGCGTGGTGGGAGCAGAGACCCTGGCAATCTTTAAATCAATCTCTATTTTTTGTGTGCCAATATCGTGACTTTACCGAATAGAACCAAAGAGTATGGATCCTTGCAGTCACGAAAGCTTTAAATCTAGAATCGCCATCGATGCTCACAAACTCGCCAACGTGGAGTCGAGGGACGTGGAGGCGCGACTCGGTGGTGAGTCTCCACACACTAATTAAGACCAATATTGTAAAAAAAAAAATGAATTTGTTCAAGCACGAAAGCTCTGGGCGGATTTCGACTATCCTCTAGCATCCCGTCACCAGCAGAGTCAGGCTGGTTTGAACAAATGCCGCTGGATTTCCAGATGTTACGGGCAATTGTAGTGCATCGCTGGTCATCTTCGCAGCAGCAGCGGCTTTTGTCGAACCATCGAACAAAGGTGGTGGTCACCACATCGCACGCTTTCTTATGCGCTTCTGCGGCCGTCTGGAACGCTCTTTCGTCCAATATGAGGAAGCCATTGGAGCTACGCGCTTTTAAATCATCCCGATGGAAAACTCATTTCTTTATAATTGTTTTTTTTATTTCTTGTCTTTCCCCGGCCGCACTTCCGATTATCCCGGCTGGCCACGTCCGGTGCTGCCACGGTGCTGGCGGTGGCATCACGGTTAGGGGCCGTCCATAAATGACGTCACGCACCTGGGGGGGGGGGGGGGGGTCAGACATGTGTGACGATGTGTGACGAGGGAGGGGGGGGGGTTGAGAAATGTGACGTCACATCAAAATGCGCAACTTTCAATAAATATAGACAACACGTTCTACTTAATTAAACATACTTTTTAATACATGTTTTCTCCTACAACATCAGAGTGCAGCGCCACATTAAATACGCACTACAATGACAATAGTTTAAAGCGATTTGAAGCAGGTTTTATTTGGGGGGGGGGGGAGAGCTTTGTGACGTCATATTTGAGGGGGGGGGCTGACTTTTTGTGACGCCGTGTGACGAGAGGGGGAGAGGGTCAAAAATCGTCCAAAATCGCGTGACGTCATTTATGGACGCCCCCTTATCAGCATCCCCGGACTTGCCCGTCAATGCCACCGCATCGTCACGCCCGTCAATGCCACCGCATCGTCACGCCCGTCAATGCCACCGCATCGTCACGCCCGTCAATGCCACCGCGTCGTCACGCCCGTCAATGCCACCGCGTCGTCACGCCCGTCAATGCCACCGCATTGTCACGCCCGTAAATGCCACCGCATCGTCACGCCTGTCAATGCCACCGGATCGTCACGCCCGTCAATGCCACCGCATCGTCACGCCCGTAAATGCCACCGCGTCGTCACGCCCGTCAATGCCACCGCATCGTCACGCCCGTCAATGCCACCGCATCGTCACGCCCGTCAATGCCACCGCATCGTCACGCCCATCAATGCCACCGCATCGTCACGCCCGTAAATGCCACCGCATTGTCACGCCCGTCAATGCCACCGCATTGTCACGCCCGTCAATGCCACCGCATCGTCACGCCCGTCAATGCCACCGCATCGTCACGCCCGTCAATGCCACCGCATCGTCACGCCCGTCAATGCCACCGCATTGTCATGCCTGTCAATGCCACCGCGTCGTCACGCCCGTCAATGCCACCGCATCCAATGTGCCGAGTTTGTCATCTCCCAAGCACCCTTAGGCGCGACAAGACAGTTTGTATGAATCCGTATGAATCTTACACCGCTGTTAAAATCACACTCAACAATGATGATAATGTAGAGCCCCTTCGAGTAGTGATTATTAACAGCGCATCATAATTCAAATTGTTGATGGAAGCATCTCCACGCCCTGCCTTGGTTTTGCAGTTTTTGTTTTGTTTGACCATACTTCACCACGCTGGTAATTGCGGGTTGAGGGCGGAGGGGGCGTGGGAACCAGAACCTGTTCACATATTACTCACCACTGATGTTAGCCGTGGCCTGCAATCGAATTCAGGTCGCCAGGTTCACAACGCAGTACGCTAATAACATTGTTTTTACATTCATATTAATTACGTGTCGCACATTGTCAATTCAATGGTGGACGACCTCTCCAGACCGTGTCAGTTTTGGGTGTTGCATGACCATACTTCACCACGTTGGTCAATGCAGGTTGGTAAGGAGGCACCCAGGACCGCTTCGGATATCACTCGCCACTGACGTTAACCATGGTCGGGAATCGAACTCAGGTGAGCGGCTTTATGGCACACAGCGACAACCACTGTGACAACGCTCCACTACAATACATGCTGTATGTACTCATATTTATATATATATGTATGCATATAGTCCATCATAATTACGACAACAACAATGATCATGTATAGCCCATCTATCAATCTACCGCTGGACGAAGGCCTCACCACGTGGTGTCAGATATGAGGGGGGTTGTCTGCTTGACCATACTTCACCGAGCTGCTCAGCGCCGTCTGGTGAATGCGGGCAGCTTTGACGTGGAGAGGGTGAAGAGTCCGGCGGGAGAGTGCAACGATGGACTTCATCCGCCACCACCCTCTGCTGTCCCACAAAACGTCGCCCCGCAGGAGCCTGGAGCACCTGGGGGCTATGCGCGGTGGACACCCAAACGGCCGGAGATCTACGAAGTGCTTTCTCAGCTCGGCATTATTAGCGATCATCTCGGGGGCTTTACTCGCCCCCCCCCCACGCACCCCCAGCCCAGCGTGGTCCACACAGCCCCCCCCCCCCGCGCGCAGTTAATCCGCCAGCCGCGCAGTACAGGCCACGCACCTCAATGCACCACCTGTGTGACACGGGGGCTGCCATATACTGTACCTGCATAATAATAATAATTATATTTCTATTGGCCAACGATCTCAGAGATGCAGTGCACAGCAACAGCAGCAGCAATCAAGCATCCGCTCAGCGTGAATACATCTCATGAAATTAAGTGAGCGAGAGAAAATCCTCACAATAACCCCGTGCGAAATAATTGTAATAAAAAGTGACATTTTTTATTTTGATTTAAAGCTTTCGTGACTGCAGGGATTCATATTCTTGGTTCTTTTGGTAAAGTCACGCAGAAGGGAAACAAAATAATAAAAACATAAAACAACAAAATTCTCACGACGTTTCGACTGTAACACAAGCAATCATCATCAGGTGCGAAAACCACAGCAAGAAAATTCGCACAGCAAGAAAATTCGAATTTTCTTGCTGTGGTTTTCGCACCTGATGATGATTGCTTGTGTTGCAGTCGAAACGTCGTGAGAATTTTGTCGTTTTATGTTTTTTTATTATTTTGTTGTTTCCGTTCTGCGTGACTTTGCCGAAAAAAGTGACATGCCAAAAGCCATTCGCTGACTAAAGTCAAGGCGTGTAAATAGATACGGGCGACGACATTGAGAAGTGTGTCGAGTTGTGGATGAATGCCATCTCTTGTCGCTCGCGATACAAGCGAACGCAGTGAGTAGCGAGATGCGCGTGACGCTCGATTCTTCCTTCCGAGCCTGCGCAGGGAACGACAGCCGTGGGAGATGGAGCGATTAAAAAAGAGCAGCTCGTACACAGGCGCTGGGTGGATTGTTGCAGCACAAGACTGTATGAGACGGCGACAGCTCGGGTTGCAGCCTTCATACAGCAGTGGATGGAGCATGGCTGCTGCAGTGCCCTTGTACAATCACCACTGGTGCTAGCCGTGGCCAGAAATCAAACTCACGCCAAAGTGCTTGTAGCGCAGTGCCATAAACACTGCGCCACCGCTCACCCCCCACCACTAAATCTAACATGTATTTTGAAATAACAGCCAAATATAAATGTCACAGCGTGTCAGCCGAATACTTAATCATAGCGCTCACCTGCACGCTGATTTCATAATTTGACACCTGCGGTTTAATTGTATGACGGTAGCGTGTGCAGGTGTTCGGGTGTGTACACACGTGTGCAGTGGGTCGCAGGTGGCCAGGCAGCCCGCAGGCCCTTCGGTATAAAGTGAGAGGTTGGACGACACGGACATCGACTCTCGCCTCGACCAGGTGCGAAACGTCGCCTCCATGGTGAGATCGTCTGCCGGCCTGCTCACGTACATTGCCAACGGTGGAAGGTTGCGTGGCTTACATCTGTTGTGATGGGGGTGGGGGGGGGGAGAAAGGGGAGTCGAGGGATGGTGTTAGTCGCGTTTATTTTGTTTAACCCAGGTGAGAATTCGAGAAAAGCAGGTTACGTCTAATTTTGCAAGAGCATGCACGTACGTTGAACTTCTTTCACGCCGTGCGTAGCCAACCGCACTAATTGGAGGTGAGAAAGAGTGGCATCTGCAGCGTCACTCAAAGAACGAAAGCTTAAAGAGATAACGTCGAACAATTGAGCTCATACAGTTCGGTTGTTCAAAAAACAAACTGCGCCATATGTGCGTTTGACTCGTGAATTAGAGGTGGTCTGAAATGCAAAGTAAGTAAACGCACTTTTATTTCACCAGGAGTTGAAAACAACCAATTTTGGACAGCATGAAACGTGGTATTATTAATTCACAAGTCTGCGCTTGTCGAGGTGCGCGTTCCATTCGTGAACCATGCAGGTACAGCAAAGCAGTGTAGCGGCGGCGTGACAGGCGTGATGAATGTGTTTCCAATAAGCACCTCGTTTGTGTTTAATCTCTGACAAGATTGTATTTCATAACGGCGTTGTTTCTGCATTAATTCTCCGCCGAGATGTCTCGTGATTTATTTACTCGCGCGTTCGATTATCTCTGCCACGCAATATCCCCGTCGCAATAGATTGTCACCTCGATGGGCTCCCTCTCACCTCGTGGTAAACAAACTTCTTCACGATAGCGATGATGATGATGATGGATAGATGACGATTGCGTTGAAACAATATGTATCGTCCATGTATGTTGAACTTCTTTCGCACCGTGCATAGTCAACCGTGCTAATCGGATGTGCGGGGGAAGGACAATACATCATCAGTTTATGCTACCTTAAGCAACCCTCGACCGTATAACATGCAATAGTTACAGTTAATTGTCACTCGAAGATATGGACCATGTAAGCCACATTCAATGTTCAAAGCGTTTTATTTCAATAGTTACATTCACAGCACATTGTGGACCCATTGCTGGATGAAGACCACAGCGTGTCGTGTTTATAATGCTGGTCAGTGCGGGTCGGTGAAGGTGGCGTTCGTAGACCGGTGAGCAAAGAAGTGCAGTACAACAATGAATGTCGCTTCACTCCCCTTGTCTGCCCATCTCGTATCCACGCAAGTCACTCGTGCATATTGTGCGATAGGTGTGGCCTCCAAAGCAAACACTATACAGACTCACCTCTACTTAGCTTCCGATATCTGAAGGCATCGGGCCGTTATTCCGTTATCTGGTGCTGTGTGTAAACATCAGCGCACGGGGAGACAAAGGCGGAAAGATCTGGTTTGGCAGCCACGCCGTCTCGTCGTGCGCCGTTCCAGCATTCACAGGTGCTGCTCGCTCACGTAACTTGCCACAACTTGTCTATGCGGGCTACACGGGGGAACTTTGTCTTTGTGTGTCACAGAAGGCCATGGCGCATCTGCTGCTGCTGCTCCCCCTGGTAGCGCTCACCCACGGCTACTGCACCCAGCAGAAGCTCTTTGCGGACATCGTCATGCGGGATGGAGGCGAGTGCCACTCTCCCATGAATATAAGAAGCAACATTAAAAAAAAACACACGGACACACAGCCCCCCCACCCTCTACGCGTTGTTTTACCCCGTAGATGTTGCGCGTCGGCACGAGCTGCCCGAGGCTGCGTCTCTCCCTCTACCGGGCTGCCCCAAACGAGTTACAAAACTTCGCTACATTGTTGGAGGAGGCATCGAAGAGCCGTGGGGCCGACACGCGGCTGGCGGTGGCGTCGTCGCGGCAATTGTGAAATATAAGAAAAAGTATGGCGCTGATCGTTGACTTCACGTTAAACGGACAAACGCCGAGATTGTCGGAGGTGTCTCCGCTCCTCGGCATTGCCAAAGAAAGAATCAGAGACAATGGCAGGCGGGGTCCTTTGTATGCACAACGGCGATGGCAGCCGTAGAAGGTGATGCCACCTAGCCGCCCGCCCCGAAAGCGGAGATGGAGCAATGAAATCAGCTCGCGCGAAGGTAGCATCGTCGATGGCATCGTGCCGAGATACGTATGTATGTATGTTGAACTTCTTTGTCACCGTCCGTAGCCGAGCGTGCTAATCGGAGGTGCGGGCGAAGGACAACGAACCAAACATGCACACGCAAAAAAGGTAGTGACGGCGTGGGGAGGGCCTTCATCCAGCAGTGAAGAGAGCATGGCTGCTTCTACTGTTGACCACGATGACGATGTCGATGTTACCGATGACCGTTGCTCGTTCATCTTGTTTTTTTTGTTGTCATCGTTCCCCCGGCAGTCCCGGTGCTGGAGGAGGGGCCGTGCAAGGACGAAAGCGGCGGGTCGCGACTCGCGGGCGAGCAGTGGAGAGAAAGTGGCTGCATGCTGTGCACGTGCGGGGAGACGTACATCAGCTGCTGCAGCATGTACGTAACGCCGCCCACAACGTCGCTCCGAACAACGTCGCATATCCGCCCCCGACCGATCAATCGCCCGCACCCGGCGCAGCAATACTTTCAATTGTAACCCGACATTTAATTGGAAGCCAATACAGAGATTGTATGATAGGGGTAATGTGCTCAGGGGATGACAATGATGATGATGACGATGCTAATGATATCCGCGCACCGCGCCCACATCTCCTCCCATCGACCGGCAGCGGCGGCAGGGCGGTGAACTTTGCGGCCGACTGCGAGGCGGTGATGGACGTTGACACGTGCCGCTACTCGGTGGTGAAGAAGGACGACCCGAGCCAGACGTGCGCGCACGACATGGTGGGATAGCGCGGAACGCGACGTGTGGGGGGGTCCCGACCGCCACGGCGCGAACCCAGGCCACGCGAGATCAAGGGAGAGAGAGCGATGATGATGACGATGGCGATGGAGGAGTTAAGGTTGAGTGGTGGTGGGGTGATGGGTGTGTGTGTGCGCGCAGCCTTCATAGGTGCTCGCTAACGGTGCTTGCTCCAACAACCTGCTATAAACACTTTGTCTTTGGAGTAATTGTTAAGTGACGGTTTTCTCGTATTTGGAGTGCTCACTACCTACACGTGGCACCTGCACGCGAGTTGAGTCATCATAATCGCGCTATCGACGTACGCCCAGGTGTGCTCGCTAGTCTCGACCGCCTGGCGTCATCTCTTCTCGCGACGTCTCCTGCCCACCAAGTTCGCTTAGACTCCTCGAACACTCAACGCATTCGTCAACAGCACTGCTGCCTTCAAAAAATAAATACAAGTATATAATAGGACGTATGTTGAACTTCTTTCGCACCGTACGAAGAAGCCATCCGTGCTAATCGGATGTGCGGGGGAACAGGTGACGTTTCGGGCAGCCTGTCCTTCGTCGCAGCACATACAGAGGTAGAGTCAGTGTTTCTAAAATCAGGATGATGTCTCTGACTTATCGAATCCACGTGTCCCTCGTTATGTACAATTCCAAGCGCGCTTTTCCCTGCGCCTCGAAGTGTCTTGAGTGATTTTATCGCTCATGGGAGATGTGGATACAATCATCACATGTAGTCGATGGCCCATGCTGTAACCCGCATTTGAAAGCAAAATATAAGATGGTGTAACATTTTATATCGGCAGTTTTGTTCGCTTCAGTGACCACTCAATGTTGGCGAGGTTGAAAGTTTTGCGCACGATATTGTGGACCGAGTTTACAAATATGCACCTCGAGAAGTAATTGAATGACACACAATAAAATGATTTAATCAAACCTCTCCGTGTGTCTGCGAGGAGTGGTCGTGTAGCGCCTGGCGCGCTTTGCTACGAAACCGGCGACCCGAGTTCGATTCCCGCTCACGGCCACAACCACCAGTGACCATTACCTGAACCGATCCTGGGCCTCCCCTAGGTCGACTCCGCCTCAAATGCGTACCTGGTGCGCGGTGTGTAAACATCGTCACTGTGGGGAGACAAAGGCGGCCGGGCGTGGTGCTGGCCACCCAACCACCTCGTGTGCCGTTCCGACCTTCATAGGAGCTCGCTAACAGCACTTGCAGCAACGGTCTGTTAAGGCTACACGGGGGACCTTTGTCTTCAGCACAAGGAGAAGAGACGGGGCCGCCGATCACTGGGGAAGCCGATGGAGCAAGGGCAGGAAGCAGGAAAGTGAAAGACAAGTTCAACGACACTTAGCGGAAACATTTGAACATTTTGTCAATTCAGCACTTTAACTTACATTTTGTATTTCAACCCCATCGGGGGTGGGGGAGGGGGGTTGACTGCACGTGCGCCTTCATTAAGTGCAGTCGCCGCCTTCCCTCGATCCACCAGTCCCCTCCGTCGACCACGATGGCAAACAGCAACAACTGGTGACGAAGTCACGCACGTGCAGTTGTACCCGAATAGAGTTGAACGGTATTCACTGCGGACAGACCCCCCACCATCCACCCCCCTTAGACATGCGGGGCACGGTTGGCCTCCTGGCTACGGGCGAGTCGAGACTCGCGTGTCACGCCAGCTGGCAGGATTCTCGGGGAGAGGAGCTTCGTTATCGATTCACGCACGCGAGCCTCCCCGTCTTGCTACGTCGCCTTTGGGCAGCGTGCATCAGCGACGTCACTTCACTCATCGCCTGATGAAGCTGGTCGTAATCACCAGCGAAGTGTTGTCAATGTTGTAGGTTTACTCTCCAACACACCGGTGTGCTCAACTAGTAACGCATTGGCATGTCTTTGTTTACGTGGCAATAAGTGCTTTGAGGTGTGAGCGGTGGCGCAGCAGTTATTTCAGCAGTTAGCAATCAAATCCATTTGAGTTTGATTGTTTAAGATGAGCTGACAATTCAACGTGACTGCCTGACAATCCCACGTGGTCTGTCTGACGATCCCATACGATCTGCCTGACGATCCCATGCGATCTGCCTGACGACCCCACGTGGACTGTCTGTCGATCCCACGTGGACTGTCTGTCGATGCCATGCGATCTGTCTGACGATCCCTTGCGGTCTCCCTGACAATCCCACGTGGTCTGTCTGACGATCCCACGTGGTCTGCCTGACGATCCCACGTGGTCTGTCTGACGATCCCATACGATCTGCCTGACGATCCCACGTGGTCTGTCTGTCGATCCCACGTGGACTGTCTGTCGATCCCACATGGTCTGTCTGTCGATCCCACGTGGTCTGCCTGACGATCCCACGTGGTGTGTCTGTCGATGCCATGCGATCTGTCTGACGATCCCTTGCGGTCTGCCTGACAATCCCACGTGGTCTGCCTGACGATCTCACGCGGATCTGCCTGACAATCCCATGTCGACTGCCTGACAATTGAACAAAGGCTCCCCGAGTGTTCTGTAGTTGCCGAAGAAGCGTCCTGCAACACGCGCTACAACCAAATATATCAGACGAGATGCATGTGGCGTGTCAAAAATAATTTCCGGAACGTCGTTAAAGACCGCTCTGAGTGACACATAAGCACTGTCGATTGTTGAAAGCTAGGGTCGCTTCTAAAGTCCAGAATGCAAACGTGGCTGTTGTAAATATACACAAAAACCCGGAGTGTAATCACATAGCTGCTGGACCTATTTTTTTATTATTTTGCTCAGGTTGTGATTGATGTGACTGAGAGATTAAACCTAGCAAGGTCTTTATTTACACAATGAGCACTCCATATAAAACACGATTTCGCAAAGACATCGTGCGGTAGCTTATTTACACATTTTAAATGTCAAATGTTCTCATAAATGAAACACACATAGCACACCCCCCCCCCCCCCCACTCCGTATCGATGCCCTCAGCACCGCCACACACGTGACGGTACCTCACCACAATTCGCCACCGTCAACCTACCCCTCCCATCTATTGTGGCCATTAATTGGTCGTAACTCTAGCATTGGTTTGTATGGTTGTTGTTGTTGTTTGTTTATTCATGCTTCCTGTGTGGGAGTTATCGGAGTCGTTTTTAGATATGGCTGGAAGTCGGTGGTCGCTAAATGCCCCATTAAAGGGAGGGAGGCCTTAGAATTTACAACGGTGACGGTTATGGACCTCGAGCCCAGTCAGGGCTTATTGGCACCACCGCTCCCTCTCTTCCCGTGGAGCTAAACATCCCTTGCTCCGCAGTGACGGACGCTCTCGTGAGCTCACACAGGGACACACTCCACCTTCTACGTAGCATCCGATCGATGCATTGGCCGGCGTTTCGGAAGCGTCTGCGAGCGTGACCACAGTTGGCGTTTACGAGCAAGCGGAGGCATCGCTACCACGCCGAGTGACGATGCCGAATCGGCAATGCCACCTTTGTATGAGAATCGTTGACATTTCTGAGTGGTGATCGACACGTGGAGCGTGGAGGTTACGCTGGACAGTAGAGGGCGACACGGGACCACTCCGGGCACAGTGCCGCTTCTGAAACAACGGACCGGATTTTCATCCCGAATGGATTGGGCCGCCGGTGACGAGAGTGGTGAGCTAAATAAACTCAGTAAGCGGGAATGCACGTTAATCTATTAATCGTGGCAGATTGGTTCCCTCCCTTCACTCCCGCTCTCCTTGTCCTTATTAACACAAAAAAGGAGCTTACATGCACAAGCACCCGACATTTCCTGGCGCCTCTTGCTCTCAGATGATGTTTGCACTTTTTTCCATTCAATTCGCGCGTTTCGTTCACGACCGTTAAAGGTCTCCTTTGGTCGTTGCGCACCAATCCTTCAGGAATCTGTAACTCGTTCCCCACGATGTTGACGCTCTTTTGTCTTTTTAGTTGCTGCTCTGCTCACCACAACACGGATCTCCCTCGTAAAATAGCCGGCAACTCCCTGGACGGGACCATTCGCGTGACAAATGAAATAAGCTAAACACTCTTGCGTATTGCAATATGTTTAGTGACTAAATGTCGAGGTCTGCTGGCAAGGAGAGGGCTTGCGGAGAGAGTCCGTGTAGTTTTTGCCGTTCCTTTAAACGTCGAAGGAGCGCAGGCTGCAGCAGGTTGAACTCTCTGGTCCGGGTTGAATGGTCACAGGAGCGCGACTGTGTCTCGTGTCTTTAAAGCACCGTTCGCGAGAGATACGTGCGCATCGGACAATAATGATCATTGCGATCGAAACAATTCCGTTTCGGAAAAAAAAAGTTACTCCAAGTGTAACATTGACATAAGGATGTCTCATCCAGTACTTAGTCACGGGTCCCCATATTGTGACCGTGTTTCAAACTCAAATATTGCTTTGATTCTAGTAAATATCGCTTGAAAAATTACTTTTCGGGTTAGAGATGTCAAGCACTCGGTATTCCGTTGAATAAATGCGCTTGAGCTGCAGTGAGCAAAGGGTCCGCTAAGCATGACGCATTCCACCTCGTTACAGACGGTTACAAAAGCAGGACGCGGCTTGGACATCATCACGTCACGTGACACCAGCAGTGACCTCCGTAGGCGAACGGCTTCAACTGTTGCACAATAAGGGAGCGAAGTGTCTCCGACGAACCTCGGTTCATTTGCGTGACAATAATTCGATCTCTTTACCCGACTTGTCAGTGACTGGAAGGGAAAAACAACACCGCACGAAATGCGTCCATAACCAATAGGCGACGTGATCCTTCTTGAGAGCACTTACAGATACAGAGAGGATTATGAGTCACCACGTTACACTGTGGTGCCTGATAAGAATTACATTGTTTCAAATGTTTTATGATCCTACCAGTTTTTTTCGATTGACATTACGAATAGTTGCCAATTAGTACTAGTGACCGCAATTAGATATAATCCTTCACGTGTAGCTCATTTAGATTTCACAGCTATTCACTGCCTACACTGAATAACGTCGTTACCGTT